CCAGCCTTCTGGTTAGCAGTCAAGTGCTTTAGCCACTATGCTACCAGAGCTCCTAGCAACTCTTATTTCAACAGCCATTTCTAAGGCTCTGGTAATTCAGCCTTGCTTGAAATCACACCAGAACCCTCCAACATGGCACTTTCAATGACTGGGAATCCATAAACAAGCTCATTATGATGACTACCTTTGTTCATAATCCCAACTTTACGTCTTTTTATGATTACCCTGGAGAGGATTCTGAATAAAGTTGGTCTCAACAGCCAGGTTTAGAGTCTTCATCTTGTTAACTAGGGTCCTTGTGGAGTTTTCTCTCACTGTTGTGCACTGGGGTTTGTATGCACAGTCTCCACGAACAACGAGGACTGGTGTGGGCTCACTTTCCTTCAATTCACGTACCCCAAACTTCTCTCTTGTAAATAGCCCATACATGAGGTAAGGAACAGAGAAAGGAGGAGAAGAATACATGCACGCAAAACACACATGCACATTCAGCCAATGAGTCTGCAAGGCAACTGAAGGCCAAAGCCCCAGACCTCTAACAGCATTTTCCTGAACACTATACTACAAGGAGCTCTAATGGCATGGTGGTTAAGGCATTTGGCTGCTAACCATAATGGTTGGTATTTTGAACGCACCAGCCACTTGTGGGAGAAAGATGAGGCAGTCTGCTTCTGTAAAGATTTAAAGGCTTGGAAACTCCACAGGGCAGTTATACTCTGACCTGTAGGGTCGTTATGAGTGGGAAATGACTCACTGGCACTGGGTTTGGTTTGGTTAATACCACAGGTTGGCAAACCATACTCATGGGCCAAATCCAGACTGCAACCTGTATATATATAGCCCACCATCATAGCCCTGTTCATTCATTTACACACTATCTATAGCTGCCTTTGGCCCTTTGTGTGGCCCCTGGGACTACAAGATCTAAAATATTTCCTATGTGGCCCTTTAGTTTACAGACTCCTCCTCTCTGCCATGCAAATTACTTTTTTTATTCTAAAGCTGTTTACTTCTAACTATATGGAATTTGCAAAACTCAGGTGACAAATCATGAAGCATTCAAAGGTTGAACTCTGAAATTGCTTCCTGGTCTTTAGCCCAACATTAGAAATAGGTTTGGGTTACTTCTTAATTCCTGTATCCCATAAGTGACCCACTAAGAAGCAAGTGTAAAGGAGCTGCCAGATTTCCCTAAGAAGAAACTGCAAATCTAAGAATCAGAAGTAATGTTGAAAAGAAAACAAACATGTCTACCCCCCCCCACAAAAAACTAGCAACATGCTAAAACACCCCAGCATTCCATTATATTTCATTATCAGTCTCATGCTTTCCTGCCCACGTAAATGCTTGTTATTTTTATGAAATGGCATCAACAGCTATAAGCAGTGGCTCCCTGAAAACTTTAGGATATCATTAAGTTTCTCAATGAAATCTGAGTGATCAAAGAAAGAAACCAATAAATCTTTGCATTAAATGCTATGATTTTAATTTCACTAGGTGATGTCTCATTTAGGTATTCTTTGTTCTCACCATGGAGGATATAAAAGGATTCTGACAAAGCAGCAGCACCCTGGTGGTGCAATGGTTAAGCGCTTCACTGCTAACTGGAAAGTCAGTAGTTCTAACCTGGCAGCCACTCCGTAGGACAAAGATGAGACCGATTTATAGCCATATAAACTCTATGAGGCAGTTCTACCCTGTTCTACAGGGTCACTACGAGTCAGAATTGACTTGATGGCAATGGGTTTTTTAGGTTAAGTAAAAAAAAAGAAAGAAAAAGAAGGTAAGTTGGAAAAATGGAAAATGCTGCATAATTCCTTTATGTTCCTATTCATGAATCTTCTAGAGGGAGTCTAGGAAAACACACAACAAAGAACAATAACATGGACTACTCATTGCTTTTAGACTCAGGAACAGCACTGCAGCATGGCACACAAGCATTCATACTACAACAAAAGCCATCTTTCCTGGATTCTGTGCAGTTTGCAGCGTGCCAATGCAAAATTTTTCTCTCTCAAGAAAGGATATTATAACACAGTCACATGAGGGTTCTAATTACAGCAAAATCACACATCTGAACTGGTTTATTAAAAAATAAATCATTCATAACATCTCTACTTTCAATATTATTGGTAACAAGATGATTGAGATGCAGCTCACAGCTGATGGAGGCACCCTTGTGTTGCCAAGACAGTTCAGGTAAGAAGCTATGTTGTAAGTCCTGGCATTATATACAGCAACATGGACAGAATAAAGGATCGAGGATTTGGGGCCTCAGAAATTGAGGCTGTCTTTTCCTGATTTTTAACTTTATTTTTTCTTGACTAATTATCACCCCATTATTTTAACATTATACTCAGAGCAAAAAAAGAAAAAAAAAATCCCAAACCATTGCCATCAAGTGGATGATTCTGACTCACACCAACCCTATAGGAGAGAGTAGAGCTGCTCCATAAAGTTTCCAAGGCCATAAATCTTTATAGAAGCAGACTTCTTCATCTTTCTCCCATGGAGCAGCTGGTGAGCTTAAACTGCCAACCTTTTGATAAGTAGCTGAATGTTTCAACCACCACACCACCAGAGCTCATTATACTCAGAGCAGTGGCAGTTTAAAAAAAAAAAAAAATTCTTCTCTGCCTGTATGTTTATACTTGGAATAGACTTGGGTACAGCCATGTCCTCCCACCCACATAGCTGGCTGGCTACAATGTGTATATATATAACTAAACCAAAAAAAAGAAACCTACTGCCTTCAAGTCAATTCTGACTCATAGCGACCTCCACTGGGTTTCCAAGGTGGTAAATCTTTGCATATATAACTAGAAGGTTCAATTTAGTATTTGTGAAATGTTAGTTGCAAGAGCAGAAAGACCACTTCAGATAACTGTTAATTAGTTTTACTATAATAAATAATGTCTTAGAAAAGAAATGTTCTTGCTTTAGAAAATAAGCCAGACTTTTTACCCCTCCTCCAAACCCTCTACTGCTACATACCAAATGCTGCCAACTCTGGCTCCTTTTTCCACTTTCCCAGTGAGGCTGGCGGGTTCAGCCAGATCACGGTGGTGTGCAGAAGCAGGTCACCCATACTCAGATCTGCAACCTGAAAACCAGGGACACAGAAGACTTACTGGGAGGTATTTTAAACACACAGATTTTCATAATTTTTTAAAATTTGGCAGGCTGACATCACTTCGACTTCATGGAAATACTGTCTCAAAGCATTTGTCCTTCCCCCCACCCCCATGTCTGTCTACCTGAATCTCAAAAATAAAGTGGCAAAATGGGTACAAATTGGGTCTCTGGAATTTATACACAGTAAGTCTGCCAAAACTGAGCTTCAAAATTGGACATATTTTGTGTTCCAAGGAGACACTAGTGGTTACCAATGACAAAGATCCACCCAGCAGACTGAAGACATTTCTACCTGTGAGCTAAATCCCCTTGGAGCCAGGGTCCTCTGGAAAACAGTGGAATCTATTATATCTTCTTCCTTTTTTTACTTGTTTTAAAAAGATCTTATTTTACTCTAAAGGAAACAACAGCCAAATGAGGAGTATGAAGATTCCTCTTTAACTATGGCAGTCTGAGCACTGTAGCCTGCAGACATCATGAAGTCCAACTTGTCCACTCCAGGTGGTCCAATGCTAAACCACCCCAGACAGAGAAGTCGTCTTCTCCTTTCAGGGCCATGCAGACGGGATGGTTCCAGAGATTCCTTCGGAATTCTAACGTTTATTCTTCACAACCCTGTCTACCTTTTTCTACGTATTCCATTGGCCCATTTACCAGTGGACACTGAGTGGACTCTGACTCCTCACAGCAACCCCCCATGCATATAAAAGTAGAATTCTGCTCCACAGAGTTTCAAAGGCTGAAAACCGCCTAGATCACCAGACCTTTCTTCTGAGGCCTCTGGGTGCACTCAAACTTCCAACCTCTAGTTTAGCAGCTAAATGTGTTAACTATATGCATTACCCAGGGGCTCCTGGCCCACTTACAAGCCTATCACAATTCCAAGCTGCTACCCACTGTGAGGCCACTCCCAATTGCCTAATCATAGGTGGGATGATCATCTAGTCTCTAGCCTGCTCTCTATGTAAAACGTCAAGAGGACAAGGCATTACAATTAGAGTCCACAATCCATTCCATTTGCAACCCTCCCCAGTTGTTCAGAAGTTTGCCCTCTAATATGCCTCCCTGCAGTGCCTATCCACACACCTCTCACTTCTACTTTCAGAGCCCATAAGAATCAAGGCCAATTCCCTTTTCCTCAGAGCAGCATTTCAAATATTTGAAAACATGAACCTGAACATCAAGGACAAATAACTCTAGATGATGTTGCTGCTTATGATCCAACTGGGTTTCTAGACACAGCAGCAACCTGGCAGCCCTCCACCAACATAATGCAGTTTGTCATTGCTGCTCTTGAGCCACCTGAAAAGGGTATAGTGCTATAGATGTGGTTCCATTATAATAATAATTATCATCATTATTGACCTATATTATTAGAAAGGAGTAACAACTGCCATAAACTGAGTAGCTTAAAACATCAGAAATTTATTCTCTCACAGTCAGGAGATTGGAAGCCTGAAATCAAGGTGACAGCAGGGTTGATTGATGTCTTCTGGAGGCTCTGAAAGAACCTGTCCCATGCCTCTCTCCTGGCTTCTGGTGGCTGCTGGCAACCCTTGGTGTTCTTCGGCTTGTACATGCGTCACTCTGATATCGGCCTCTGTCTTCACATGGCATTCTCCATTGTGCGTTCTCATATGGCCTTCTTATAGGAACAGTCATTGGATTAAAGGCCCATCCTAATACAGGATAACCTCATCTTAACTAATTGCATCTACAAAGACCCTGTTTCAAATAAGATAGCATCCAGAGGTTCTGGGTAGACAGAAGTTTTATGGGAACACCACTGGACTCAGTACAACATCCTTGGCTCTGTTGACTCTGGGTTTGGCCATGTGACTTGGCCAATGCACTTGGCATAACAAGTGACAGACTTGTGTCTTTCTCAATGTGTCTTCTCACCAGTTTACCAGCTGCTGTCAAGTTGATTTCTATTCACGGTGGCCCTGTGTGTGTCAGAGTAGAACTGTGCTCTGGAGGAGTTTCAATGACTGATTTCTTTAGAATGAGATCACCAGGCCTTTCTTCCAAGGCACCTCTGGGTGAACACAAACTTCCAACCTTCCAGTCAGCAGCAAATACTATTTCCTCAGGACACAGACCATACTATTTCCTCAAGACCCATTCTCTCCTAGGTTTTTATTTCTTGCAGAATCAAAATCATTCCATCCTTTCTAGTTCAAAGACCATTCTCCTCAAAAGGAGATGAAAGAGATTGTTTTTTCTTTTTCCCCGAGTAATCCATCACCTTTGATTACTATACCTCCGACCCCTGCTGAAGGCCTATTTTCCTTCTTGTTCTTCTTATTCTATAAAAACATGTTCTTTCATTGCTCTCTTTGGCATCTTTACCAAGCTTTAATTTTTCTGGGCTTCAGAGCTCCCAGTACTGATATAGCATTTTTGTACTCTTTAATACTGGTACCAGATCAAATATCCCTCCTTCCATCTTTTATACATTTCCTTTTACAAGCTCAGCTCACGAGAGAACACTCTGTATGACACTGTATCTCTTTGTTCCATACTGGGAAGCTTTCTTACTCGACTGTCAGAATTTAGTTTCACTGATGCCATATGTCCTTTTATAGTCTCTGACTTTACAATCATATCCATCTTTTCTAAAAAAATTCTTTGCACTGCACTACCCACAGACTTTTCAGTCTTTAGCATTATCACTTGCTCCTAAATCACTGAAATCTAGCAATGAACATACCACATATATGAAAATGTTAATTTTTTTTGACCCAGTAAGATCCACTTCTATCAGAATGAAATAAAGCTAAAAAATCTTATGATCAAAATGTTTGTGATAGTATTCAAAACAGTCATTAAATGAAGCCAAGAAAATTACGTAACAATAGGAATTGATTTGTTACAGTCCAACCACAAAATGAAGCATTACATAATAATGAAAAGGACCCCTTACGAATAATTTAACAGAACATAAAGTCTTTTTTTTTTCAATATATATATATAAAAAATCAAGGCAAAAAATTACTTTCAAAATATAACTAATTAAGCTATGCATACATGGAATTTTAAAACATCAAAATAAACACCAAAATTTTATGAGTGGTAAGTTGTGTGTTGAGATGACTGTTTTCCTTCTTGTCTTTTTCTGTATTTTGCTATCTTCCTTTAATCAACGTAAATAAATTTTTTTTTCTTACCATAAAAGTTTAAAAGAAAATCAGAACTAAGTCCAGAATAACAGTGTCCTAAGGAATTTTCTAGAGGTCCAAGTGGCACAAACAGTTTGCTCTTGGCTACTAAACAAAAGGTTGTAGGTTTGAACCCACTCAGCAGTACATCTGAAGAAAGGTTTCCATAAAGATTGTGTTGTTGTTGTTGTTATGTGCTGCCGAGTCAGACCCGACTCATAGCGACCCCTCCTTGGGTTTCCGAGGCAGTATCATTATGGAAGTAGATTGCCCAATCTTCCTTCCAAGAAGCAAACCCATTGCTACCAAGTAGATTTCAACTCACAGCGACCCTATAAAAACCAAACTCACTGCCATTGAGTAGATTCAGACTCACAGTGACCCCCCACCCCTTTTAAGTTTCTGAAATGGTAAATCTTTACAGAAGTAGATTGCCCAGTCTTCCTTCCACAGAGTGGTCATGGGGTTTGAACCACCAACCTTTTGGTCAACAGTCAGATGCCTAGGCACTAAGCCACCAGAGCTCCTCAGTGAGCCCATAGGACAAAGTAAAATTGTTCCTGGGGTTTCCAATGCTGTAAATCTTTATGGAAGTAAACACTTCATATTTCTTCCACACAACAGCAAGCTGTAGGTTTGAATGTCAACCTTTTGGTTAACTACCCAGAGCTTAACCACTGTACCACCAGGGCTCCTATCAGCAAAGATTACAGCCAAGAAAACCCTAAGGAGCAGTTCCACTCTGTGCCTCATAGGACCAAAATGAGTCAGAACCCACTTCACGGTAATAGGTTTATTTTTTTAGATTTTTTGGATAACTTTTCTACTTCTTGAGAGGTTACATTATCTGCAAGGTAGGCTGAGAACAATGGCATGTTCTGCATCCAATGTCATGCAGCAAAAAAAAAAAAAAAAGTGTAAAGTATTCCAAGAGAAAACTATGGTTTTTTTTACAGAGTATCCTCCTACTATCATATTCTAACCCTGCCCATAGTCCTTGGGCTGCTCTGCAATGCTAAGATTTAAGTACAGGTGCCCCGGTTTTCAAAAGTTTGCATTATGCCCCCTTTGCTTTTACAAAAGACCTACATCAGTAACTGTTTTTCACAACTCAAAAGAAATCTGAAGAGGGTTTTCACTTTCAGAGAAAAAAGGCAAAAAGTGAAACTAGTGTTGAGGATTTGTTCTGCAGTGAGCTATTAAAGAGGCAGCACACACCCTGAGCAGTGAGACTGGTGTCACCAAGCTTCCTCCCCTGAACTGCACTCTCAGTATCAAGCTGCCATAACCCTGAACTGTGTCTGTGAACACTATAAGTTAGTGTTATTGTAGGTTTTGTGTGTTATTTGGTATGATTTCATAGGTTATTTTTTCGGTCTAGAAGCTCCCAAAAATATTTCCCATATAAATTAATGGTAATTCCTTCTTCAGTTTATGCCATTTCAGCTTATGAAAGGTTTCCTAGAAACACACCACTTTCATATAGTGAGGAAAACCCGTACCTGATACCTACTGCCTTCAAGTCAATACTGCCCCATAGTGACCCTATAGGACAGGGTGGAACTGCCCCAAAGGGTTTCAAGGTTGTAATCTTTATGGAAGCAGACAGCCACATCTTCACCTGGTGGGTTTGAATCACTGACCTTTCTGGTTAGCAGCCCAGCACTAACCACTGCCCCAGCAGGGCTCCTTCTAGGTAACTGATGTTGTTGTTGCTGTTAGGTGCCGTCGAGTCATTTCCGACTCATAGAGACCCCATGCACAGCAGAACAAAACACTGCCCAATCCCGTGCCAGCTCCGTGATCCCTGTTACACTTGAGCCGATCATTGCAGCCATCATGTCAATCCATCTCGTTGAAGTCCTCCCCCTCTTTCATCGACCCTCCACCCTACCAAGCATGACATCCTTCTCCAGGGAAGGGTCCCTTCTGACAACATGACCAAAATAGGTGAGACGAAGCAAAGTTGTATCATCTGCATATCTCAGGTTGTTAATGATTCTTCCTCCAATCCTGATACCATGTTTTTTTTTTTCATATAGTCCAGCTTCTTGGATTATTTGCTCAGCATATGGATTGAATAAGTATGGGGAAAGGATACAACCCTGACACACTCCCTTTCTTGATTTTAAACCATGTAGCATCCCCTTGTTCCATTCGAATGACAGCCTCCTGGTCAAGGTACAGGTTCCTCATTAGTATAATCAAGTGTTCAGGAATTCCCATTCTTCTCAAAGTTATCCATAATTTGTCATGATCCACACAATCAAATGCCTTTGCATAGTCAATAAAACACAAGTAAACATC